AGTATCTTTAACCTAGGGCTTTTTAATATAAGTTTTACTATAGAAGTTAGTATTATTATTATTAATTATAAGTTTACTATTAACTATATTATCTTTCTAATTTTTAGTATAGATAATAGTAGTGTTATTAAGTATATTATACTTAATTAAGTTAATAGGCGTTAGGGGAGTTATAATATTAAAAAATATTTTTATAGTAGTATAGTAGTAGTCCTAGCTACTATAATAATATTTATTATAAGTATAAAAGTAGTAAATAAGCTTATCTTTTCTAATTACTTTCTAGTAACTATATAATATATATTTAAAGTTAAAGTATTTATTATAGAAGTCTAGACACTTTACTAGGGTAATTAAGGCTTTATTTTAATAGTATAGGGAGATTAGGTTACTAAGTAACTTACTTTACTCTAGGTTAGTTATATTACTAATATAGATAGTATAATAATAGGTATAGGTAAAAGCTATATTAATATAGTAGGGCTTATTAAGGAAACTAATTTTTAACTTATAAGGGAAATTAATAATAATAATTTTAGCTTTATAGCTAGGCGAATTATCTATAGTGTAAACCTATAGAGTACCTTCTAGGATATAGTTATATAGAATTTTATCTATAAGGTACTTTATCTTTATAGTTTATATAGTATAGTTAGTAATAATAAGGATTTTACTATACTTTATCTTATTATATCTAGTAAGGATAGATAAGCGTTAGAGAGTAATACCTAATTTAATATAAAAATATATAGTAGTAGAGCTTATATAAGATATAGTTACTTATATTTTAAATATATCTTAAAGATTAATAAATAAACTATAGTAGTAGATATTTAGGGAGTATTTCCTAAAGTAAGATATAATATTATATTACTTTATTATTAGGTTTTAATTTTCTTAGGTAACTATTATTTTACTTTAATAAAAGTAGTAAGATAACTATATAATAATATTACTAGAGGAGTAGTAGTTAGTATATATATAATAATTAATTATATTATTTTCTTTAGTATACTAAAGGAGGCTAACTTCTTACTAAGTATTAAAATAATTTTATTATAAAGTCTTTACTAGCTTATTATCTATAGTAAAAGTATAGAATATTTAATATTTACTTAGTATTATAGTATTTAATTACTAGGGGTCGCTAATAATGAATTTTATAGTGTAAGGCTAATAGTTAATAAGGATAAGGAGTTAGGATTTTATTAGATAACTACTTTTATTAGAAAAGATAAGAGAGGGGATATAATCTATATTATTACTAAGTATCTAAGTAGCTATAGGTGTATAATAAAGAGCCTTTATAGTTTTTACTATTTCCTTTAAGAGGGTAGTAGTGGCTTTAGTTACTACTACTTTACTAAGAAAGTAGGCGTAAGGATCTAATTTAAAAATACTATAGGCTTAGGCTAATAAAACTATATAAGGATCTATTAGGGTAATATGTATAAGGACCTAGTTAGAAAGGGATAGAGGGTTAGAACTTATAGTTAGTAGAGCTATATTCTACTTAAAGACTATATTATAATAGTTAATAAAAAAATAGTCTATTACTAGCTTTATAGGATCTATATTTAGATTTAGGTATTTTACTTAGACTAGCTTTATAAGGTAAGCTAGTTTACTAGAGAAGGTATAGGCTCTAAGTATATTAATACTATAACTATATAGATATCTAATAGTATTATCTATAATTTTATTAGCTAAGGCTAACTAGATAATTTATATACTTTTAGTATTAGGGGACTTAGAAATAACTAGCTAGACCTTAAAATATAGAATAAAACCTTTATAAGCTTTAGCTATCTTTAAAGATTTTTCTTTATTTAATACTAGTATATTATCTTTAGCTATAGTTATAGTTTTTATATCTTACTTAATATCTTCTTTAATATATTAGAGGTTTTCTTCCTTAAATTCCTATAAGGTATTTAAACTATTTAGTATTAC